GCCTCGAAATAATCCGTTTCAAGAATACAGCTGCCTTCTTAACGTACTGTATCACTTGTTAATTCTTCAAAAAGCAAGCTCTGAGCAATAACAGACTTCTTTGCATTGCTGTTGACAATTTAAGTTGATTTTGGACGGTGGCTCGCAGCCCGAATATGCTGCCGCGTAACTCTATTCCAACGACGAAACGGCAACTTAGCGAGAATCGAAAATTTAACGAAGTAGGTACAACAGGAGCTGGCAAGGCTCCTGCATTGGTCTATCCGTCATGAGTGACACACCGGGGTAATGTGTCGCGTCAGGGCAGATCTGTGTTCTATGCCGGGTCTGGATTCGGGTCTTGATCGGCATCGGTGGGCACGGCCGCCCTGGCCGGACTGCCGGCGTCGCTTATGCTCGAAGGATTGAATAAACGGCGCTTGATTTATATGAGTAGGTACTCCGGCTAATGTCTTTACTCATGTCTCACTTCGTCACACTGTCAGGGTGGCCACTCTGTCATTCCCAGACATGTTATGTTTTCTTTCGACCCGCTAATCTAAGTTACACCTGGCGTCGATTCTGTTGCCCCAGCATCTGACATCAACGTATCTGAATAATGACATTGGTGACGCATATGCTCGTCAAAGCCACCCCCAAACTTGGGCCGATGACTGTCGGGTCTCCTCCATATTCTGTCCTTGTGCATACTGCATTGCCAGCCCCTGCTGTACGTATATCGTGAATTTTCGATTCTCGCGAAGTTGCCGTTTCGCCGTTGGAATAAAGTTGCGCGGCAGCATATTGGGGGTGCGAGCCACCGTCAAAAACTAACGTAAATTGTCAACAGCAATGCAAAGAGGTGTGTTATTGCTCAGAGTTTGCTTTTTGAAGAATTAACAAGTGATACGGTACGACACGTTAACCCGGCGGCCGCTGGGCCTCCGCGCCACCCGCCGGCCGCTGGGGGGGGGGGGCATAAAGTTGCCCCCCCCCTTTACTTCTGCGACGATATCGTCGCAACGCGAAAAGATAGAGAAGCGAAACTTTGCACACATCTTCCTGAATACCTAGCCGAGGTTGTGTCCAAATTTGGTGTCGATCCCATTTGAAATGACGTCACAGTGACGTCATAAGTGAAATTATAGATTTGCGACTCTCATATTCCTCACGATACATCACATATATGGGACCGAATATAAAGGGCCGATTATTGGTCAGAAACTAGATGGAAGTGTAGTAAGATGTTTTAGGATGACAGCAGGTGCTGTCTAGTTCATTTACAGTCGAGTTTCACGCTCAGCGTCATCAGAAACGGTCCATATCGGAAAACGACAAAACTTTATGACGTCACTGTGACGTCATCTTAGGTGCTACAACCACCAAACTTTCCTCAAACATTGCCTAGGTATTCATTTGAAGCTATGCCAAGTTTCACGTTCGTAGCTCATCAGGTTTCGGAGATATTTCACGAAACGTAAAGGGGGGCAACTTTATGCCCCCCCCCCCCCAGCGGCTCGTGGGTTAAGAAGGCAGCTGTATTCTTGAAACGGATTGTTTCGAGGCAACTACCCGGAATCATTCGTTCTTTTCTGAGCTCTGCTTGAGTTATTTTCTATACCGTCGACACAGACCACCGTGGCAGACGCACCGATGCTGCACTGAAACGTTCCACCCCGAAAACATGGGATAGCTCACCCCGATCGTGTGCAATAAGACCACGCACCTATAACTTCCCACCGCCCAGCCGGCCGCCCGGCAGATGTCGTGGCGCGCGGTGCCGATAAGGCGCTGCCGCCGCCGTGCGGCGTCGAACTCTCGCCCTTATTGACACCGGCCGGTCGGCGGGCGTAACATGGTCCTCTTTAAGCCGTTTGAGCCTTGAGGAGCCCCTAACAGTTAATACTTTTCAGTAAAAAGGGCATCATTGGTCTCAGAAAAGAATACCGCACCACATGAGCCATGAGCCCATATATTTTTCCAAAATTCGGTTTTTTTGAACAACCCTAGTGCACGGCTCAGCGAAGAAAACGTTTGGAGAAAAACTTCATCGCAACGCCAGATAGTTCAAACTTTCCTTCATATGGAAGTACAAACTTCAGAACACGTCGGCGAATGCGGTGGTGGTACTGCGGCGAATGCGTATTTACAAATTGCAACCGAGCTCCGCCGTAGGGTATTTTTTTCCGCCGTAGTGTATTTCACTTGGGGGATTTTCTACCATACATCTGCCTGAGCTTAGGGTAATTACAATTTGTCCGCGACGTTCAAAAATGATGCACCTTTTTTCGCAGTATAGGATATCGCATGTGCATATTTCTGCCTATTTGGGTGCGCTTAATCGGTTTTTCGTGAGTAACTCGCGTAAAAACCGTCCGATCGCGACGAAACTTTCAATACCCCCGATTTTATCAATTTTACACCTACCCTGAAAATTTCATGACCCTGACCCAAATGACCTTTGACCTGTGACCTATTTCTCGAGACCATGTTTGGCCCGAATCGCGATTCGGCGTATGTCGGCTCGCATTAGCCGCGCGGTTGCAGTCTTCACGTGGTTTCAAGCCTTGAAACATGTGATATGATGCTGGTCCCATGCATTAGGGTGGGTGTCAAGGTCACCTGAAGGTCAGGTCAGCTCAATGACCTTTGATGACCTCGGTTCACTTTTTCGAGTTTTACATGTTTCTAGGCTAGTTTTTGGAGCTGATTTCGAATTTAGCAACCATTTGAACATCACAGGGGGTGTAACGAAATTATCCGGACACCTTTCTTCCCGCTGTAAAAGCAAAACAATCTGGTACTTTTTCTTTTAACTGAGCTTGTAGCCACCTTTCATAAAAAAAACACAGTTTACTCACCTCGTTTACTCACCTCGTTGGTTTCTGCATATCTTTGGAGTGGTTTCAAAGGACAGTCAGAGAGGAAGTGAGGAACCCACACAGTGGCGAATGTTCTGGAGCATTTCAGCCCAATGGATTCTCCAGCACACGGGCTTTGATGCGGACCAACGCCGTCTAAGCCTGTGCCTGCGGTTGAGCAGTGCTTATGGCGGGTGTCTCTTCATATACCTCCTGCTAAACAAGAGCCCACAAGTTTTCGATTGAAATGGGATCGCGACTTTTTCCAAGTAATAAGCGTTAGCCCAGAATGATTGAAGGTTCTATCGGCATCACCGTTCTTTTAGGGACTTTTAAGTAGCGCGCCGCCACGCATGAAGACAGCGTGGCTGGAATCAGGCATCAGTGCGCGTTCAGAAACCGTGCCCTCCTATGCCATCTGGTGGAGCGCCTCCAATCATGCTCCACCACCTTCCCTGGAAAAGCTCCACCCTTGCCTATGGGGCAAAATATAAGGGACAGAAACACAAAACAAGACAGATAAGAACAAAGCAAAATTAACTCATTACCTAATGAAATTCAGGCTGGAGCAAAAACATAGGTAATAGGTATCTATGTCAAATTAGAATGAAAGATAAAAATCAACCTGACCAGGCCTTACGGTCTGACCGGGTCATAACCACCTTACTTCGCCTAACTTGACCCAATTCAACCTAGGCCTACCACAACACCTGCAGAGGTACCTTCCTGGAAAAATGACGCCAAGGGAGATGGCTGTCCAACTTATTGGAATACTACCATGATTGCTTGTCAAAATGTGTGTCATCAGACATCAATCATCATGCTCTTGTTTGACAAGTGATGAATAATAAATGTGATATTTAATAATTATCTCCTGACTGTTGACTGTTGAGTGATCAAAATATTCAAATAATCAGGGTACAATGCTGTGCATAGTGCACACTAATCATGTTGTTTTTGTGTAGGCCCTCTGCACATTGTTGTGTGCACTGCTATGTGCACTATAAAAAAGTGACTGGTGGTACATGACAAAAGGTTGAGCAACTGTGAACTTCATGCCCTTGGTCTTGCTGGTGCCAAATGCCTATAGCTATAGCAGGATCAGTGAGGGTTGTAGACATGCTACATACATTGTGCATTGAAGATATTGGCACAAAGTTCATCCGTAATTACTATGCTTAACACCTAATGTAAGAAGCGACATAAATGCCCAGATGATAAAGCTCTCTGGTCAACATCACACAAATTTATTGACATACTTTGCAGGTACATATTTACATTCATGGCAAACACTTTCGATTTGATTCAGAAACTAGTTGCTAGTAAGGTTGCATTTTTGTAGGTACAACAACGACCATATATTAAATCATAAAAAAACCTTCTCATGGCATTCATCACATACCTTTTTACCGAACAAGTACCTTATACCTAGCTACCATGCAATGATTCTAAAATTTGTCCGCAATCCATCTATATCTCAACTGACACAATGAATTTCAAATACCCTAACAAAACCTATAACTGTACATAAGAAGAATGCAATACTACAAGAATTATGAATTTCTGAAGTTATTATCACATGCTGGAATGTTGAAACTCTACTTTTGTTGTCCATTTCCATGTTTGATTGAGCCATCATATAGAACTGCTTTCGTTCTTCAGTCACAAGCTTTCCCACAAATCTTGAATTTTTACACATCATCTTGAACCATTCTCCAGTCTTTCCAACAAGGTACTATGTAACATCAAAGCAATTTTGATTTGTTACAACAGCTTCAGATCATGATAGGCTTGAGGTTTGTTACACCATTTGCCAGACAAACTATAAAATGTGTATCAATTCCCAAACTAAGTAATTGATCATATCAGTATTTGCAGTTTCCACACAATGTTTCATAATACTATTCTATGTTTATATAAAGAAACTCAAATAATCCACAAATTGTTATTGAAACACTCCCACTTCAAGAATTCACAGCAATAACAGTACAAGTTCAGAAGCAAACAAACATTGCGCCACATTTCGTATGAAACGCGCCATCGTCCTGAAGTTTCTACCACAGACGGTAGTTCAACCGCAGCCGTAGTGTGAAAACCCCTGCCCACCTTACCCCACGGCGGAGCTCGGTTGCAATTTGTAAATACGCGCGGCGAATAGTTCACCGGGGGGTGAAAGCATTTGTTTTGGGCTCTCTCTATCGCCTGGATAAAAATAGGCCCCGCCCATCCCAATCAGCTGCTGCATGACGAGTTGATGACGACAACCACTACTTACCAGCAACCAATCTAGGGATAGCGTACGTGACAGTAATGGTGCAGCGGTTGCAAAATATTACATTGTTATTCAAACGGTTTTTGCTATTAGGGCCTTGTTAGATGAGGATGAGGTTAGATTAGATGAGGTGTTGATGAAGGCAGGTATTTTTTAAAAATATTTTTTGACAATTTTTTGCCCTTGTTTTACTTAATAGCTGAACCCGGGACCACCTGAAGTCTAAACCTTATTTTATATAACATGTCAATGCTGATGCTGTCTTGAAATCAAAATGTGAAATTTAGACAATGGTAATAGGAATAATGAATAGCAATTTCACCAACAACATTTTAATCTCTAGGAAGTGCAATTAAAATTGAAATCACTGTCTGCCACACTGCTCCATCCTGGTCATGCAACCAACGTTCATGGGTGGTGTTTCACGGCAGAGCACGCACTGCAGTGCTCAGCACTGCAGTGCGCTGCGTGTGTCAGAGCATTGGGTTTCCATGGCAGTGTCAACAAACTTCACTGTGACGCTAAGCTATGACAGCATCCCAGAACGCTAGCACGCTGCGGTACCAGCACCAGCAGCATGCTAGCAGTATTTGAACTCAAACCTCTGTTCTTGGTACGGTTTTTCAGAACCTCTCACTCTGTTCCAAACGCGATTGATCATAAACTAAGAGGTCACATGCAACGTCATTTGAGTGATGCTATGGTATGCCGTAGCTACCAGTGCACACAGTGTCTGGATGGTGAAACAGGGCCATTATTAATCACATTTGCTTTGCTTTGTTTCAGCAGAAACCTGTCTGCACATGGGAGGAGCGCAACAAAAGCCCATCAAGTTCATGCATGGCAGTGGATCTCAACAGGAGAAAACCAGAAAGAACATGGATGCTTGTAGATTGCAGTTGTACACTGCTGTTATCACCTGATGTGCGTGGCTGGCATTGCTCCTGGCAAGAACCACCTGCAAGTGATGAGATGGTGCCTCAGTCGTTGAGTGTGCTGCAGTGTGAGAGGCGCCCTGATCTCTACTTTGTGATGGGTTTCCATTGGAGGTTCAACTGAGAAGTGAGAACTGACTGTGACCATGCTTGAGCATGCCAGTGGAGCTTTACATGCTTAGGGCAGCTTTTGAACAGATGCTGACCATGGCATGTCCCATCCAGTTATCACGTGCACAGAATGGTGGGGGGGAGGGCAACTCTGGGCTCTTGAGTCAGCCCTACTGCACAGGGGGTACAGATGGCCGCTTACGTTTGGTGTGTCCTGCACTGCATTATCAAGCCCAGTCTGCGCCACAGGCAATGGGTCGGGCTGCACTATGTTAAAGGCAGACTATCTTGCAAAGGAGGCTGGCATCCTCTCCCATAATGACACACCAATTGGCAATCATCGCTGCGATGATCACGAGGGTGTCCGCTTATCTAACATGGTGAGGTGGAGAGCCAGTTCAAGCTGGCCTGAGGGATGGTTTTACTTCATCTGAGGCCCCCTTTCCCCGCCTGCCAGGTCCGGTCAAACGACCGCTTCACAGTGAACGACTTGCAGTGGATGCCGTCCCACAGCGCAACGAGCTCGCCGACCAGAGGCGGCGGCCAAGAGGCGGCCGCGCTCCCCCAGTCGACGGTCCCGGTGGACGTCGGCAACGCCCACCGCGCGACCATCAGATCGGCTCGCGACAGCGCCGTCGCCGACTGACCGCATGACTGGTATCTGTTCTTGATGTGGGACCGACTGCCACCGCCGGTCGCGGAAGGGCATCGCTCATCGGCCATCGACGTCCGCCAGCTTCGCGTGGGTCACTGTTCGGGCTGCCACCAATACACCGAATCGGATGGAACCCTGTCGGCGAATGCCGGCGGTGCCCCGACATCGACTGCGCGGCGGCCAGTGCATCGCGTGCCGGGAGGAGGCTGGCACCCCCGATCGGTCATTGGTCACAAACCGTGTCCCAGCTCATGACTGCATCCAGCGCAGCTCTGTGAGATGTTCTGCAGCTGCTGCAGTCTGCCGCGTGTGTTGAAAGAAGAATGAACATGAGAAAACCTCAAAACTTTATGCCTATTCGTAATTGACCAGTATTGGAATAAGTTTGGATTTTGAGAATTTGTGTCCCTGTGCTTGTGCCTGTGTGGAAAGGCATGCTTTACGGTGTACCATCTCAATGTCAAATCCCGGCTGCGCTGTGCGGATTTGTGCGGCTGCTGACAGGCCACCTGGGTGCCAACGTATGTGCGAATCCGCGAATACGTTGTGTTTCGTCAGTCAGTATCGTTCTGAAAATATTGACTAGGCTATATAATAGGCTATATAGCGTATGACGGTTCAGCCCAGCAGTAATAACTGACCATTGATTGGGCGAATTTTGTGTGGTGGTTCGCTAATACATAACCTAAAGAGTGTTTTGCCGGAATCGTTTAGTAGCAGAACTGACCGGAATATAAGTAGAATGCAACGGTTTGAATCGTTAATTTGTTGAAACGATTGTTCTCTGAGACCACTGTGTAACTTTTGACCTGAGAATCACCAATTATAACGACAATGGGGAAGCAGTAGGCTGTACTGTAGAGTGTAGGCAGGCAACACTATATAGTTGGCACACTTACGAAAGCACACGACTTACGCAGTGGACATCTGCATCATGCATGTTAAGGTTTACTGGGAAGAGTGAGAAATTAGTCAGAATATAACTGACTAAGGAAAATAGGCGATATTTCCTATTGAGCTGGGGCGGAGAGGGGGAGGGGACGTGTGGTCAGCTATGCTAATAATTCATTCTCTTTATGCAGCTGTGTAAAAGGGCGTCCGTTTTTGGGTGAGACCTTCCCCATCGGCCATTTCCAAGTTAAATCGTGGTGGAGAGTCTGGAGACCTCAGCCTCGGTAGTCGGTACCCTGCGCGCTGCGCCACCTTGCGAAACATAAAGCAGCAGTCCTGACATCTACAGGCGTGACTTTTCATGAAAGCGCGGATGTGTTCGCGCTTATGCGAAGAAAGTTCTTCCGAGTATGGTTGATAATGAGATTAATTGTTGTCATTTATTTATTAATTCATTGGCAAAAGTACCCTAATAAATCGGTAAAATAGCTTGAACTGTATCGTATTTCCTTCGGAAAAAATGACGAACTCATCCTAAGACATCCAGATTATTGGATGCGTTCGTCAGTTGTAAGTAGTTCAAGTTTTTGGGAAAATTTGCTTGTGGAAAATCATAATATTTCAAAGATATGCCTATTTTCGAATAATTTATGCATTTATCTGCATTGAAAAATGATTGTAAAGCAAAAGTGCAAAAGATTATTGTCAACTTATTTTCTCAAATCACGATTTACGAACGCACAAAACTCCAGCTTTTAATTTAGTGCGTGTGCGAATTGCGGTCAAGAAAAAATATTTAAACTGTCTATATTCCTCTTAAAACAATGAAGGATGAATGAAGAAAACGCTGTTTTGAACAATTGTATATTTATTTTTTCTTAATTAAGCAAAAGTACAAAATTTTCAACTATTATTACATTTGCTCTCACAAAAACCATCACTTTTTAGCATGACGTCATGTCAGCCAAATTTACTAGCGCCATCTCTGGAGAGCATCTTTCGAAACCTCCAGACGATAGAGAGAGCCTTGTTTTGATTGTATGATGTGGGGATAAGGCGCTTTTGAGACCTCAAGAATATTTTAGTTGCATGTATTAAGTACAGGGAGTGTCCTCATTTATTAGAGATAGTGATTTTACATTCTCAAGAGCATCATCATGCAGGGTTTACTGGGTGTACTCGTAGTCCTGGCTGGCCTGATCGATGTTGAAGCCATCATGTTCCAATTGCATCCCAATAATCACAAGTGTCTTGTAGAAAAAGTACATGCGAAGACCTTGGTAACCGGAGAGTATGAAGTTACAGAGTTCCCTGGTCAAATTGTTGATTTTCAGGTAAGCATTTATTTCCAGCTGTTGTAGAAAATCAAACATATGGAGACTGTCGCAATAATTGCACCGGTGACTGTCTATAGTAGGAACTTGCATTTTTTTATGTGAAGGTGATCCCCATTAATCAAAGAGCAGTCTGAACCACTTTCATGATTCATTTACATTTTGCTCTTTACTGTGTCAGTGTGGTGATTTGAATGTGAAAGTAGATGCTAATGCACTCATAAACTCAAACTTCTTAAGCTCTGGGTTCAGTATAAGTAGACATCAGTAGGCGGAACTATGGTCAAGCGTACCCATTTTCGGGAACGCATTTTCGTTCCCATGTTTGGGAACAATAAACCCAAATATGGGAACGCCATGTAGGCATTATTCAAAACAAGAAAAAGAACCGTTAAATGACGTCCAAAAAATATAAAACGATTGTGAACCGCCTGATATTTGCCTCAATATTGTTGGGAAAGAGTTTGATATTGTAAGGCCCATCGTAGTTTCAAATCCTTCCCCTATTTCTAAAGCAGTCCATCATCCGGGCCGCGAGCCCAAATTTGGGAACGCTCTCGTACACTGGCGCTGCAAGCGTTCCTTATTATGGGAATGACGTACCCAAAATTGGGAACGATTTCACCGACGCCTTTCAGGGGCTCTTTTCATTAACAAGCATCACGTCCAACGCCGTAAATTATTGTTAACGCAACAATCATCAGATGACCTTTCCGGCAAGACCGTCGCATGTTTTGCCGGGTCTTCTGCGTTCTTATTCCCGTCGATCCCGCAGGGGGCACGCCCCCCTCTGCAGGATTACGTAATTTGCAACGCTCGGCGATGCTCAACAAGGTCTTCCATACCTATATCCACCGTCCGCGCCGAGGGTGGAGACATGTCAAGCACCCGTCTGTTTATCACCGATAGTTGACGAGCACAAGGAAGTATCCAAAAATGGGAACGCTGAATATGTTACACCCTCAAAACACCTAGTCCCACTGAAAATCTAGTTTTTTCCTTTCTTAATGAGTGTAAGTGGCAAAAGGCCTGGTAGGATGGGCACGAGGAATGATCGAAATCAGCATAAAAATTATAAATAAGCCACACAGAGCGACCTATATAAGAGAAATTTTCCCAAAACGATCATGCTTAGAAACACGGAAGACAAAAACCACGCTCATGACGCTCCTTATAAAACAACGCTAAATAGCTAGCATCCAAATAAAATATGTCTTTCCGGGCTGATGAAATACAGCTGAATAATTTTAAACCACTGAAAATGAGTTTACAACAGTAGTTCGGTAAAATCACTGACGTTCCACGCGGTCGTGCGCCCCGACACCAAAAGTCAACAATATTACCTCGGGACTGTCCGCGTGTTCGCTTGCATATGTCAGCATCTGGTGTCGCTAGTATGAAACTTCATAACCAGGCGAAAATTATTATACTTGACCTCAAAATGTAAAAAACGCTTCATTTTCCTTTAAATTGCATGTTAAATGTAGTATAAGCGATGTTTTCACCATTCCGTGATTTCAAAAAATCATTAAAAATATCATTCGACGGTCAATTTCCTTGTTCAACGGTCAGATTAAAGATAATTTTATAGAGACTTAGTAGATACTTAAATTAGCGTGCACTTTTTTGAGACGTGATGCACTAATGAGTTTTAGTGGGCGAACGGCCGAAAAATAACCTTCCGTTCTCATAAATGGGAACGCCCGTTCCCATATTTGGGAACTCCGTTCCCAAAAATGGGAACGTTCCTATATTTGGGTACTCATGACCATAGTTCCACCTACTGACATAAGGAATGTAAGACTTTGCCTTAAATATGATCTTATATCAATAGTATCAGTTTTATAACTTGGCTGTGCACAGCTTCTATAAAGGTCCTTAAGGATTTAATTATGAATGATTCCCGTATTCCTTTATATGTACCTGCATCCTGGAAGTTCAGTGTAAAAGCACAATGCACACCATTTGGAATGCATGTACATTAGCTTGTCTATCAATTTGTCCATGTTTTTACAGGTGGTAGATCAGAATGGCCATGTGCTGGCGAACCGGGCAGATGCCAAGGGCCACGGCAAGTTTGCCTTCACCACTGACAAGGACGTCACATATCAGCTGTGTTTTGCATCAAGAGTCCAGCAGGGCCAGTCTGCCATGGTCCATGATGTCACACTGGTCACCAAACATGGAGTGGAGGCCAAGAGCTATGAGGGGGTGAGTGAAGTCTGTGGGATGATGTTTGCTGGGCATGGTGTTTGTTGCATTAGATTAAAGATAATCACAATTCACAGCTACTTTGTGAGGCTCAATTTAATCCAATGATAATATACTGAGATGTTCATGAGGGATTCTGTGTTACATGGAAGCAATGTATGCCTGACATTAATTGTTGCATCATATGGGTTTGATGCATTTTAGTTAATAAATTTCAGACTTAACACCTTGTCTGTTTAGGATAAGCATTGTGTTTTCTGTTAAGCTGAAGTATGTTTTATGTTTTGTTTTACTGGTGAGGTGTAGCTAGTTTCAGGCTGACTTTGTGCTTTCACCATTGGCTTATTTTCAGACTTGTTAATTTAATATGAGGGATAGATATTATAATAGGCTGTGAATATTCATCTATTTTCTATCATTTGTTATATTTTCACTGCTTAAAATTTCACCTCAATTCTGCAGATACAGGGTGATCCAAAAAAATTGGAACCCCTAACTTAAAATGACTTTAAGTCAGAAAATTTTCACTTTATTGACACATTGCAAAGACCATTAGAAAGATCGTTCAATTCTCTATAAAACCATGTTGATTGAACTTGATTATTATTATAAATATTGCCCTAGACATATGCCTATAAAATTTGTGTCACGAAACTGAGTGAAACGGTTTTGAACATTATGCGCAAATCAGTGATTGACGGTTTGCTGTTCTGACCATGTCGCTTGTTGGAGGTTCATGAATAAAAATAGCTCATTCACGTGCTATTGTAAGGAAACGAAAGGCTGACGGCCTACTGGGACCACTTGTCCCAGAGACTGCTGGTCCGCGCAGTCGGAGCTGTCCCCAAGCAACTGCAGGCCTGGGTGACGGCCCACGGAGCTCGCGTTGAGCACATGCTGGGATAAACAACGGAAGCTAGGACGCGTATATCTGTTCTACTGTTTGCTTCTGTGTAAACTTTTATGAAATAAAATTGAATTTGGATGTGGTGTTGTTCGTAAAAAGACAACAGATAGAGTGCTAACGGATTTCAGCGCATTGTTAACATTTGGCGATTTCGTTTCACTCAGTTTTCTGACGCTCATTTCAAAAGCTAATAGTGTGCCAATGCTTTACAACATACATGCACCAATTTGACGGGATTTTATAGAGGATTTAATGCTCTTTCTAATGGTGTTCGCAATTTGTCAATAAAGTGAATACTTTCGGACTTATAGACATTTTAAGTTAGGGGTTCCAATTTTTTTGGATCACCCTGTATAATCTCAGAGAAGTGGTTGTGGAGGATTGTCTTGTCTGATATTTTAATTCCTGTGCTTGTTTTCTTATACTATGCCATTATCTTTACACTAACCCTTATAGTACATGGTTTTTTTTTGCATGGATTATTTAGCTGTTGCTCGTTATTTGTTAGTTTCGTCGAGCCGTTCAGGCTTTCAGCCATTGGTCCGGATCGTGCGTCGTGTGATGACGGCCTGTCTGTCTGTCCCCAGCTGGCTGACGCTGCCAAGCTGAAACCGCTGGAGATGCAGCTGAAGAAGCTGGAGGACCTCTCAGAGGCCATCGTCCAGAACTTCGCCTACATGCGCGAGCGGGAGGAACAGATGCGGGACACTAACGGTGAGAGGGGTGCCCTGGAGGGCTCAGGAGCCGGGGGCGCGGCCGTACTTGGGCTAAACGTTTAACTAAGAAAATGTTGAGATGGATACATGTCCAGCCAGTGCCTATGCGTCATTCATGTAATCTTGTCGTTTTTATTATTTTTGATTTTTTGTAAGTCGTCTTGTCGATGAGTAAGCTGAATATGTCGGCAGGTGTTGAATTTTGGTCGTCAAAACCACTATTTATGCACATAACCTGTGATCAGCCGCTTCCTCATTCTAGTCGCTCGATACACCACTGTTGTCGACTTAGCAACAACCTGAAGCTGCTTATTTTGACTGTGTCTTCATAACTGAGCATCGTGCTGCATTGAGGCCCTATGCATACGATTATAGCCGTCAGGCGAGACTAAGTTTCCAGTGCCTTTTAGCGCTCAGAATTTACCTCTAACCTTGTCGCCCCTCCCCCAGAGTCGACCAGCTCGCGAGTGCTCTACTTCAGCGTTTTCGGCATGTGCTGCCTGCTCGGCCTGGCCACCTGGCAGGTGCTCTATTTGAGGCGCTACTTCAAGGCGAAGAAGCTCATTGAGTAGTCTGTGGTGCTAACTAAGCGCCGAGGGATACATCTGGTGGCGGGCGGTCACACCACGAGTGCCGAGATCGGCCGCCAGAGCGACGCGCAGTGATCAAATGTTGCGGCGGCATCGAATTAGTCGCGTCGGGGAGGGAGCGAAGGGGGACCCTGGATGCACATTGGTTACGTGGTGTTGCGCGTGAATGCGTGACGTCATGGTGTGAGTGACGTCATTATTCCTCGGCCCGTCCGTGCGTCAGGAGCGGAATGTGCTGCCTGTTTGCGTGCGGATCCAGTACTTCGCACTTTCTCAAGGCGGTTCGAATGTGAGTTATATCCCCGAGCAATTGCCGCTGATCTTCTGATTCCGGGAGTGGACGGTCGCGAGTGCTGTTTTTGTCCTTAGGACGGAGTGAGTGTCGACAGACAGTTCGCGAATGTTCTGGAACCATGCGTGTGACGCGATCGTGGAAAAGCCGAAATTGGCCCGCTTCGGAGTTACTGATTAGTTTGGTGTTCGTAGAGGGTGCATTATTGGTGGGCGGGCAAGCTTGAGTGCGACGTACTTTCGGGAAAATACACTTCGTCTTAAGTTATCACATTTCGTTGTTCATTTATGCGTGACGAATGTCTCCTTTTAAACTTGTCTCCCAGTGTCCAGACTGTGAATGCCAATAGGCAATTCCAGGTAAACTAAGTCATTATACACTGAGTTTTCTCTAAAAATTGAGAAAGAACTTCAGGTTAGGTCAAGTTAGAATAATTATGAAGTGCTGACTGCTGAGTGCATTTTGTCCTGCCTCTGGCGCATGGCTTTCAACGCTGCAGCACGAATTCGAAGAAGGTAAAGCCCCGTGTGTTTCATTTTCACAACATCCCGTTGGAAGTATGTTCATTGGAAGTACAGTCCACAGCAGAAGTATGTAATGTGCGGTTTCATTCATGGGTAATGGGTATGTTCTGCTTCTGAAGCTTAGGAACGATTAGCCAGACCAAAATGAAACTTTGAACGTAGCTTACATGTATCGTCACCTTTGCAGCTGTAATTTTGTCTATTGACGTCTTCTTTTCGATCACTTCGCATTTAAAAAATCGCCAGTCAAAGCCATCCGTTGAGATTGGTAAAACCGCACTGTACTTTAGGCGGTGGGCTGTACGTACGTTTCTAGGGAAGCTAGGTATTAGCGTAGTGTAATCTGATGAAAAATGTAAGTTATTTATTAAACTATGGTATAAATGACTGACCAATTGCATTCGATGTTCCTAAAGTTACACATCCATCAAGACTCGCCACTGCGGTTATTGATAAATTGTCTCCACAAACGAACACTGAGATCTCTGCATCCCTCGGGCCTCGCAACCTCTGCATTGACAGTCTCAACAGCTGGCACCCTGAATACTGTATTGACAATCTCAACACGCACCCTGAATACCATTCCGCCGCGCGCACCTGTCCCGCTCCCAGCCCAGCCGCATCACAGGAAACGCAACATCACTGATATGTGCAGGGCCGGCTGCACTGCGGGTCAGGGTCGGAGCTGCTCCTCCGCACCCCGGCGAGTGCGTTTGGCGAATCTAAGGCGACGCATCTGCGCCACGCGTATCTACGCCGTGAGACCAGGCGGCTGTCTCCCACGCTCAATACGTAGGTATAGGCTACGCTTGATTTCAGACGTGTGTTTGAGGAGGGGGAGGAAAATGGAAATGCATTGCGACGATTTTCGGGACCATGTAATTTAACGTTATTTTCAAGTTGTTAAACGGAACCCAAGCCATTTTGTTCTGATCAATCAAAATGGAATGAATTTTCAAAATTACGTGAGATATGGCAACCCACAAAAATTGGCAAACCCAAAGAGTTTGTGACGCGGGCTCTGCTGCCTAAATCTCTAAACTCGCAGGTGGTATAAGGGGTGTATAATATTCGGGTGCTTGTGACGTCGGTAGACGTCGTTTCGTGCGTAGTAATTTGAACCATCTGTCATGACCGATGATTCATTGCTTCCAATGCCATTATTAGACGCCCCTGAAATCGTAACAGTTATGGATACAACAGCGGAGCACAGGTTCACGGGCAAGCACTGATATGAACAAAATACGACCAAGTGCGGATGAAGAGTTTGTCATAATTTGTTTTAACCACGAGCATCAGCGCTAACCACGATTTCGACCAGAGTTTAGGCGGGTAAGCATACTAGCAGAAGCCACAGCTTATGCCTCACCCCTTTCCCCCACATGCACAATTCCACGGGCAGCCCACCCACCGGCGACCCCCGCGCCCCGTCCCGTCCCCACGCCGCGGTCCGTGCAGCCAGTCCGGCGTCATTCCCGGGCGCCGGTGATTACACCCGTTTGTATATTCATGCCGGCCATCAGCGGAGCCGGCAGCCACTATGCGTTCCTCGGGACGGCAGAGTTGGCGTTTGTGAGACTAGTGAAAAGCCGACAGTGTGCTCAGAGAAGGTATTAGGCGGTGTTCCGGAGCGCCTGCTGCGGAAAGGTTCGTTCCCGTAGGAAAGGCAGGTAAGCTTCAAACTTAGGTATAATTATCATCCTCCTGCCCACACATTCTATAACTAAAAGTAAAGTGCAGATGAAACGTATTTCAACACGCATTTAAACAAATTTCGCCGGAACATTATACACAGACGACATGGCTGGAATCCCTAGGCTACGTAGGTCACTAATAAACTGTAGGCATACAGTTGTGAAGGTACTGGTATGACTATGAAGTTTATTTGGTAACCATCCAATCATAATTCAATAAAAAAAGCGATGTGGGTACAGGCTACAGGTCGGGCGCTTTCCCTAGCTATTTTTCGACTATACGAGTATCGAAGTCGATGCATCGTCGATGGTCTGCGTATAAAGTTGGCGGCACTAAACGGGCTCTCAGAAGTCGCGACAGCACAGGACTTGTCCAATAAATCCACCAGCAAAGTCTCACCTAATGCAGCTATCTCGCCGTCCCGGCGCGATAGGCGCGAATATCTAAATACAAATATTGATGAAGAGCTAAACCCGGGGAAAACTGCCGCTCGGTATGGGCTCCAGATCGCCGGGCTGTTGGTGTTTCTTTGACATCGACTGCGACGTATTGGCCCATTTCTGGGTGATGTATCGACAGATAGGCGCCACACGAGGCTCGGACGAATGGCAAACGGCACCTCTAGTCGGCGGCAGCGACAGAAGAGACGGAAATGAAATGTCAAACGGGCCGCTGATTGCCGTGGTTATGGTTTGCTGAGGGTACGCTGGTGGGGCTCTTATAACGTAATAAATATCGGTAATGTCTTCAGTATGCGCACTTTGTTGACGTAACAAACAGAAGGGTGGGAGGGGAGAGTTGAAGAGGTAACTGAAGATAGGAAAAATGAAAATAGACATGAAGTAGATTCACTGATCTGTGTGACCTGTATCGGTGTGGAAAGTGCTTTACTCTAAAACAGTTCGTAAATATGTATACCTAGAACGTGAATCATGTTATCTAGTTATTAGTTCAATAGGTATTATCAATGACAAATATAACGTTTACTCTGAAAATTTAATACAGTATTTGAGCTATTCGCCTAGAAGCCATCCTCGGCATAAATTTGACATATTCTATGATTTAGTAAACCAAATAGGTAAGACCATAGTTATTTATCATTTAGATGTACTGAGGTCCGGGAGTTTAAGACTGACTGTTTTTGGCTTGATCTGTAAATTCTACTCCAGAAGGTGAAAATTAGTTCTAGAAGTCCAGGCTTCAATCTAACCCGCGCCCCGTAGGGGGGGGGGGGGCGAAACGGCCCCCTGTCCTTTTCCGTCAATATCTCCTAAACGGCTGGAGATATCGCCACCAAACGTTCAGGACCCCTCCGGGCATCAATTTCAGACATTGTGACCAAAAAATTTCCAGAGGCTACTATAGGTTGGCCACAAATGACGTAAGAATGACGTCATGTTCTGCCATTTTCGGCCGAAAAAAGACCTTCGCGAGAAGAGCTGTCAGGCCTACAGCTTTGAAGATACAGAAAAATAATCAAGACGTAAAAGGTGTTGAATTGACAGGACTACAAAACTGGCATCTCGGATTTTTGAAATTTTTGAATTTTGACCCCAAAAATCAAAAATGCATTTTTTTATATATTAGCCAAAAAAATAAAAAAAAATTAGTTTCGAAAAACCGGAATATATGTGATAGTACCTACCGTCTTCTATCTACATACCAAATTTCAGATCGATATATCCTTTTTTGGCGAAGTTATAGCGAAAACACTGTTAAAAAAATGATGACGTCAAAGTTTAAAACTCAATTTTTTTTTTGGCAATTCTAGCCCACGTAGGGCAAAACAAAGACCACCATTGGACTCCCCGTGACAAGCTGCATCGAATGGATACCCATTTAATGCAAAATATCAACTTTGAAATTTGACCTAATTTGACCTGACCTTGACCTGACCTTGACCTGACCTTCACCGGAACATAATCTAAACTGACCCCAAAGGCTGCCTGACCCACATAATCGCATTTGTCATGTAAAGTGGGCCATAAAACATGTATCACACGACACTTTCATTTTGTGACCCCCCAGTGACCTGACCTCTGTAACCTGACCTGGTATCAGTGACCTCAGATAGCGAAGTATGTGTTTGACGAACAATGTACCATCGATGGTTTTCAATAACTTACCAATTTACTCGATTTCACAACACATTTCTTGAAATGCCTGTGAACGGTGAAAATCTGACCTTTGACCTGACCTGTGACGTCATCGGTTTGACCTAGGTCAATGAAATTTGGTCACAAGGTAGTTCCCCGGTGGGGCTATCGAACGCCGTTTGAATTTTGAAAATCGGCCGGTAAATTTCCGAGATCTTGGGGGGGGGGGCCAAAACGGCCCCCCCTACGGGTGGTAGGGTCCGCCGGTAGCCCTACGGTGCGCGGGTTAAGTGAGTGTTATTTTTAGTGTTAGGATCGAAAATCGTGGAGCCATTGATAAGGTAGTAGCTAGTAGGTACCAATGAATAGTTCTTACGTCAATGCACTTAGAAACTTTGAGCCGTCAAAAGTATAACTAAATCTATGCACGCTATTTTTACCAACACGAAAGCACTTGATGTAAATTGTCAGACATGCAGTTATTGAAGATATAGGTATATTTTCGAGCGGGTGACAATATGCACGAAGGATTTTGCGTTCGTTGTCATTCGCTCAAATGCCTATACAAAATAGCCATTGATGAAGCAGAGAGGCTTCAGAGTTCAGACGGACACTGGTCCATATAGATCTTATATGTATATAAGATATACATATAAGATATTATAGGTACCCACTGCACTGCACTGGTCATCTTTTGGAATGTTTGAATCTGTAAAATTGGCTGAATCGCAGTACCGAGTGGCTATTGAATGTTGTAGGTTGTATGTGTGTAGAATGTAAGTTGTACATATATGCCGAAATATCTACCCCATAAAACCGCTGCTCATGCAATGTTCCCAACCGCCAAGAGTGGTTGCATTTCCGCATCATAATGCCATGTGGCTGATTTACGGGCACATTTCTGTAATAATTTTGACTGATTGCTCCTTCATAAATCTGTGTGACCACTGTCAAGCAATTTGGGACATATGGCGTCAGCCTTCTTGTCCAATTTCAAACTCCAGTGCAGTGGGTGCTGAGGCTAGAAATTATTTCTCTTGCTTCTTTTCCAATAAAATGTTAATTCGAAATTTGAAGAATAATGTAATAAACGTTGTGCTAGATTTCCGAGGACAGCTTAGCTATGTGCGCACTTGATTTCATATCTCATCACTTGCGTTGACATATTGTCAAGGGAATAATTAAAGGTTAAATAATAAATTAATTAGGCCATTTAGTAGAATGCTAGGGCCGATCGGTCCCAGAAATTGGTTATAATGCATATGAGCCTATGCAGAATAAGTGAAGCTAAGAACCCTAACTTGGTTGCGGCGCATGGCGTGCCGGCTATCCGATCAATCAGAAGTCAAAACGGGATTGACATTATTGGTCTACTCGCGGAATTTCACGCGCACGTACTTAGGTACGGCTGCGATTGAAAGCGTATAAAAAAACGTTGCAGTTCGGCCTGGGATGGGTCACAGTGCATCACATCATCATGCAGCTCCTTTTTTGTTGACACTAGCGGGAAAGAATAAATGATACGCTATTTTAGCCGATTATACACGTGGTCAAGGTTCCCAACTGCTCAGGTGCGACTGTCGACATAAATACGCATTTTTCTTTGCCTTTAAGTATATTGTTCTTCACACGGGATGTTCACAAACGCGCTTGTTTCCGTGGGTCGGAAGCATGCAACAGGGACTTCAAAGACATCGAAAACCATTGCATTACATATTCCTACATCATTACGAAAGCGTCGTAAATAGTTTCGCGTTTTCAGACCGCACAATAATCCTCGGATGTCCGGTCCGGGCGAGGTAGTGCGTTGGAAGAAAACAGAACTACAGACATCTGGACCGTTCCAATTCGGAGGTCCAGTCGGTCAGAGGTGGGCCTAGATGCCTCCGGTGTCTAATCGCACTCGTCTGACTGGCTGATCCACACGCACGTATCGAGGGATCCGTCGAACACGGTGCCGGCCGCGCACACCTCCTGCGAACAATAGATCAGAATGGCGTCACAATGACGTCACCAAGACGCATACGGACGCGACTTTCATGGGGTTGTCACCTATGGCTGCCCAGTGACACACCCGGACCTGTCAGCGGCAAAACAATCGTGGTCGCATTGATCAATGAAGCCGTATCAACAAAGGAAGCCATATTACAGAACTGTAAGGAAAGGACAGCGTCGATTCTGGTGGAGAAAAGGTAGCGACCAGTAGGCAACACTGCCGCCATTCAGTTTTTGTTCCATTAGCAACGGTACAAAAAGTGAGTGACGATAGCTACCACGACGATACATCTTAAAGACGACATAACACGACCTTTTCCTAACCACCAAAACGAAATTAAAAATCAAAATACGATAATGTTCAATAACACCGTGTTTGAAATGTCATGAAAATGTGTAAACACGGACGAACACTGAGTTTTAATGCAGTGCACAAATACAATGTCCTGTTTTACTCAGTTGTCACGCTAAGACACCGTTCCATTTATAAGACCCAGCCAAACTCTTTGACCAAAGGTCTTACCATGGTGACGATCCAGTGGTCGCCGTTCTGGACACAATCGTAGAAGATGGGCGAGCACTTCTTCACCGGGTTGGGGTTCAGGCCGGCCTTCTTACAGATTTCGGTGGGAGACATGGTCGGTTCCGGCGACGCAGTCTGGTGGCAAGGTATGGGGCATCAGTATCGCATTGTCGTGCCCCACTTGCTATACAGATCTGCATGCGCCTCTGCTGGCCTTGGCGGGCCAAGAAGCGCCGCCGGTTTATGATGTATCCAATCCCCTAACCATATTTTCTCTGTAAATTCAGTCAACTTACTGGCCCGGTGGGCCGCGGGGTGGTGGTGTGAACTGTAAAACTCATCGGTTCCGTGGGTCTCGGCTCACAGGCATGGACACTTGCCGGTCCGGTGGGCCGCGGGGTGGTAGAACTGCTGGGGATATTTACCTACCGGTCCGATGGGCCGCGGGGTGGTGGAACTGCTGGGGATATTTACCGGTCCGGTGGGCCGCGGGGTGGTAGAACTGCTGGGGATACTTACCGGCCCGGTGGGCCGCGGGTGGTGGAACTGCTGCCTGCTGGGATATTTACCGGTCCGGTGGGCCGCGGGGTGGTGGTGTGCGGCACCGGCGTGGGGATGTCTCCGTTCAGGTTCGTCCAGATGGCCGTCATCAGCGGGTTCTTGGTGCCGAAGCCGCAGAGGCCGCGGAAGTCGTCAGTCTCCACCGACCACACCATGCTGCCGGCCAGGCCCAGCGACTTGATGTAGTCCGTCTGGGGAGGTGGGCGGCGGGTAACTGGTCAGCCCCCTCAATAACGCAGGACAGTGAAGCGCATGGAAACGTTTACTTCTGAGTCAAATCCATAGCATGAATATGAAACCAGTAAAACGCCTTTTGGGCGAAGAACGAGCGAGCGAGATAGTGAGCCCTGCACGTGCGGAAGGGCGAGAGGGTACTTCCAACGGGCTTGTGCAAAGCACCCTTCTAACCGGTCGCTAGCGGTGTGTCAAATTTGAACGCAATCGGCCCAGCCGTTCCTGAGATCTGGAAGCGGCATTCTGCACGTGCGCACGTGCAAACGGGGTCCAAAATGACTTTTGCACGGCACCCTACTAACCGGTCCCCAACCGTGTACCAAATTTGAGCGCAATCGGCCCAGCCGTTCTCGAGATCTGGAAACGCCCCCTGCACGTGCGCACGTGCAGTAGCACCCTAACCGCAACACATGGGAATGCATTGCCTGGTGGGTGCCTACCTGTATGCCAAGTTTCAGCGAAATCGCCCCAGTAATTACCGAGTTACTGAAATGGGAACAAATTTGGCACCTCTTCTTTTTGTATTTTGCACGTGCAGTGGGGGTCACTCACATAGATCAAGAGTATCCGACCTTTGGTAGAATGGATGCAGTTACCCTATAAAAATTACCGCAAGACAATCGCTCAAGCCGCTGCTGAGATATGGGCCTCTCAAAATCACTACTTTTGCAAAACTGCTTGAACACCCTTGACTTTTCACGTGGCACGTGCCACGACGGGCACTGAGATGTATCAGAAGTAGTCAATTACGGGGTAGAAGGGATGGGGCTACCCAGCAAAAAAGACCGCAGGCCAATCGGTCCAGCGGTTGCTGAGATATAAGCCTCTCAAAAGCGTTACAGGCCGGGCCGGGCCGGGCCGGGCAGGGCCGCTCATACTGAGATTTTTCCGTTATATTGAAAAGACTTCGCTTCGCTCGCTGCGCTCGCTCGCTCGTAATCACACGGGCCGGAGTAGGTACTACGATTGCAAATATATAGTCTTGAAAGCGCATGTCACGTAAAACAATCATTGGCGAAACAAGGCATCGGATATAAAGAAATGTCAGAGTATAGCTGTTAGTTACACGAAGACGACGTAATTTCATTTTCCATCTACAAGATACCTTACAACGCGAACATGTGTACATTTACTGGTGAACATCGAAAGGGAAGCCGCTCTAGCTGAGTTTCTGGGTCTGAAACACCCTGAAAGTGAGCGCCAAACTCAGATCCTAATTTTGCGAGCCCATGTTGCCCTTTCCACCATCTTGTCACCTTGATTTTGACGGACTCGAGGTCGTCGTAGCCGACCCAGATGCGGTCCTTGTAGCTGTAGACCGCCTGTTGGTCCGGGTCCCGCACCGTGGTCCAGCCGCCCTCGTTCAGCATCGTGCAGATCTGGATGGAATCAGGTCATATGTGATTTATCTCGATCAGGTAGCGCAGCAAGCTATGATGAACAGCAGCATTCTTTTTTTTCAGAGCTCTTTCGTAAGTACATTTATTTCTAAAATATACAGCAGTCCACCTTTTCACGTCAAAACGATTCAACGATGCCAACGTTTCTACCCATCTCCCCATTGTCCCATTTCTTCCGATCTTCCCTTCCCCATCTCCTCCCCATCTCCCCCTGACCATTCCCAGACATCCCAGACGAGCTTCTGACCTCGTTGAAGCCGCAGATGCCCGCCTGGCGGGTGTACGGGCAGGCCGGCTGGGGCTGGTTGGCAGGCGCGTACAGACCGTGCACGGCGGGGTCGTTCAGCGTGAAACCGTGGCCGTACAGCGGGATGCCCATGGCCATCTTCTCCTTGGGCACGCCGCCATCAAGGTAGTAGTTGACGGTGAAGTTCTGAGGCGCACAGAACGTGAATGAACGTAAGTATTTCTGGTGAAGGTCGTGTGGAGAAAACGGAAAACCTTGCTGCAAGTGGACTCATCAATATTAGTGAAGGAAACAATAGGCATGCAAAGCAAGAGGAACGAAAGGCATCGTAAAAACGCAGAAGCCCTACCTGCAATTTTACCCAAGAAACATCAGCGAAGCTATCTTACCCTTCCCTCGGTCATCCCTGCGGCAAGTACAGAGTTCCCGGAAGCCTCTGCTGCAGCTACTCACCACGTTGAACGTCTCCATCTCGTTGGTGATGTCCAGCGGCGACATGTAGGGTGGCGACACGTGGCCCGTGTACGTCTCCCACGAGCCGTGGTAGTCGTATGCCATCACGTTGAAGATGTCCAAGTACCTGACGAATTGGAGAGTGTCCTTAGAGACGTGGAATATCAATTGGAAGAGGCCGTTGTGCTCACTAGGTCGGCATGTGTTGATGCACGTTGATGCGAACTTCAGTCAGTAGCCTTTGTCATTAGCTTACAGTATTTATTTCTGTTTCGAGTCTATGAACGTTTACGGAGTCATTCGACTGTTAGTTATCCCCACACCAAAATAGAAACACATGAACACGTATAACCCATGTTAATAGTATGATTTCGTGTGGAATTCGGCTTACTTAGAATCCCTCCCACTACAAAAAGCGAGCTTGAATGTATTTACCGCCATCATTGGATCTTTCTCAGAGTATCTATCAGCTCACTTGGCCATCTCGGTGAGTTTGTAAGAGTCGTCGATGGTGGTCTTGCCCGGTCCGACGGCAGCGGTCAGGAGGAAGCCCTCAGGCTTGAAAGCCTCCTTGATCTCCTTGATCAGCTGCACGTAGTCCTCCTGAGGATCGGTGCAGAATAAGTGTTGAATAATCCCGATGTTAACTCATGTTAGGAGGCAATAGAAGCTAGTCATTCGTCCGGAATGACTATATAGTTTCTAGTGATGACGGAACAATTTCGGCTGAATGCAAAACAGAGCAGAAACTTCTCAAGCGAAATATTCATGTCTACATTACGAATATACAGTGTGACACTTGCAGACTAAATACACTTCACTTAAATTTAGGGTCTATAAAACAAGGTCTCGAAACAATTATCGACCAACAGCGTTCCACATATCCCTTGCGCAGTTGCCTTATGGTGATGTTCTTCCCGCAAGATGGTGGTCGGTGGAGGATGCGTTCCTTTTCTGTCGCCAGTAGTCTCTCGCTGCCCTCGTTCTCAGTCCCCTGTCCTGCCGTGCAGCATAGAACATGACCCAATGTCACTTGCCTTGTCGATGGTCTTGCCACCCCTCTCGGCGGGGTACTCCCAGTCCAGGTCCAGGCCGTCGAAGTTGTACGTCTTCAGGAAGTCAACCACGCTGGCGATGAAGGTCTGTCTGAAGGACGCGCTAGCTGCCATCTGTGCGCAGAAGGGGAAAATCCCGCGGATTGGATTCAACTCGTACCGGAAAAGAGGCAGTAAGGTACTTACATGTAACACGTTGCTGAAGAATTTGATTTGAAATATGAGTATACGTCTAGGGCAACTTTTCCTGTGTAATATAAGTGCACTTCATTTATGTAAACGCTACATTTTTTTGGCATCGATCACATGTGCGTGCTGGTTTTTCGTGCACGCTATGTGGTTTCATTTTCAAGTTGAGAGATCGATAAGAGCCAAATGCTTGCTGTGGATGTGCTAATGCACATTCATGGTCCATTGGTGATTCTCATTTCTGCTTTGACATTAACCCGCGCCGTGCTGGTGGCCTGAACTTTCCGCCGAGTGCTGGGGGGGGGGGGGGGGGGCGTTTTCACGCCCCCCCGTCTAACTCGGCTCCTGGGCCACGTAGCGACACGCGGTAAGCGGCAATCGAAAGAGCGTCAAAAATAAGGACGAAAACACTTCGGTCATTTTTTGGGTCAGGTCAAAGGTCAGGTCACCAGAGGTCACCAAAGGTAAAATGTTGACTATTTCAACATTTTGGAAACTGCCAACGGCTATCTCGGGAACCGATAGAGCTACAGCGCCGCGGAAAAGCGCATTCGATAACCCTTTTACAGACCTTTCTGAGTAATGTTCTCAGATTTGACCTCAGGTCAACGGTTTAGCCTCCAGAGGGCAAAAACTCCAAAAATAGCCGTTTTTACGAAAAACGTTTTTCGTCAATAACTTTTGACTCATAAGCGCCATGACATTACTTTTGCCAGCATCGTGTTCCTCTCGTCGAGACGCGTCGAATGAACTATTTGTTGACCTTGAAAGGTCATTTTGAAAATTTGACCTCAGGTCAAGGTCATGACCTGACCGAAAAGGGTCATGTTGCATATCAGTCGATCCGTATCGTCGAGCTGAACACATCTGACGTGTTTTCACCGCTCTAGCACGTCTCTATCAAAAGTTATAGCCAAAAAACTGCTGGCGACCGTTCATGACCTGAGATGACCTCAGGGGCACACAGAGGGGTCACAGGTGCATTTTTCCTATTCAGTGTGTCATGTTTACCTATGAACCGATGTTTGAGAGCGTTTTGAACGATATTCGTCCAAAAGAGGCGCATTTCAATTTTCTCCCATTGACTTATAATGGAGAGGTCGCAAAATTGACCTGACCTTAGGTCACAGATATCAAAAATCCGAGATATACATTTTATACATACTGTTACTCATATCAATCGCTGAAAGTTTCAAAGTGATCGTTCAGTCGGTGTAGCTATAGCGAGCCTTTGAACTTTTTCTGAGGTAAGGTCACTTGACGTGACCTGGTGACCTGACCTTGAACGGCCTAGGTCTGAAATTTTCACAACATGTGCGGAAATGATGTAGGAACACGTGTACCAAAAACGGCGGCGCTGCGCGCCGCCGTTTTTGAGATATTCGCGAAAAACCTGAGGGGGGGGGGCGTAAAAACGCCCCCCCAGCACGGCGCGGGTTAAAGGAAGTGACATCCATCTCTTAAAATGGGTAACTGCTTTTTTCTAGTACATGTCAGGGAGGGAGGACAAGAACAGGCCAGAGAAGCCAAAATTGTTTATCATGCATTAGGCATCTATACATTTTTAGGTGACTATTGATTTGATAAAAATATGAAGTTTCTTTATAACAGGTATACTTCCTATCTATTGAGGGTCTTCAACCAATTTATTTTGAAGGAGATCGTGCAGTTGGCATACTTTACCTACCTCCGAGTATTTGGTAGATCCCTCGTTCCAGCCTCCGATGCCAAGAAGCGTCTTCAGCTCCGGGTTTCTCTTCTTCAGATCCGTGAACCTCATGTAGGCACCTGCGAGACATACCGTTTAACCCTATTCCTGGCGGGCTCCGCCGGGACAAGAAACTGGCGGGGGGGGGGGGCCGATTCGGCCCCCCTGAGATCTCGAGAACGAAGCAAGATAGCGACAAGCGGTAAACGGCATCGGATACGCACGGCCAAGATCTACAATTTTTACTAAGGTCATTTTCAGGTCAGGTCAAAGATGACGTCACAGGGGTCGAAAAAGTCAAAATGGCGGCACTAGATATGGAGAGTTTTTCTCGAATAACTTTCGAATTAGTCAAGATAGGAACAAACTAAGGGCATCATCGTGATCCTCTTGTCAATCCGCATCGAATGATATATATGTTGACCTCGAAAGGTCAAGGTCAAAGGTTGACCTCAGGTCACGTGACCTCGAGGTCATCATGTATATCATTCGATGCGTCTTGACGAGCTGAACACAATGAGACCATCCACGCGTCTGTATCTTGTTCCTGTACGGAGTTATTGGCCAAAAACCTTTGGTGACCTTTGATGACGTTTCTGACCTTCTGGCGGTTTTGCAAACCGTTTAGGTGCATTATCCGATTCCCTCGACATAAATCTTTATTCTTACTTTCTAAATGATATCTATTGTAAATGTTTCACGATGTTTACGAATTACTTGTCACTGGCCGTCGTACAATATTTCGCAGAACTGCACAGCAAGGGATTTCGTGATCTCGATAAGGCCTTCGAGGATCGACTTTTTTGACGCTACGTTTGTTACGTAACAGTTACAACGAGTACCACTTCATCAGCTGCGTTATTCAGTTACACAACCATGATTCTTATCAAGAAACTTCTCAGGAACATTTGTCTCTCATGCTCTTCGAGCTCACCGCGTCTGCTTTCTTAGGCCTGGTGACAGTTTTTCATCACTCCTATCATCTGCGCTTTTCACTATCTGAAGGACGACGAACCTTCGGGAGCACCTATACCTTTGCTATCTGAATAGGGCATGCGCCCTTACCAGACGTGTAATCGAATAACAAGCACCATGTGTTATTTTCCATGCAAGGCCCATAGGGGCTAATGTTAAAATGCCAAAATCAAAGGGGAGCACGGTGCCCCGGTGCCCTCCCCGTTCCGCCGCCTATGACGCCACGAACAAAGACAGATGCATTTTTCACATTTTTTTTATCTTATTGTTCAGACGTGCTTAAGATTTAAGAAATCAGTTGGTGTGTGCGACTTTGAAAGCTTGCAAACACTTCCAAAGGCCGAAAGCTGTTTGTTCACCAGAATGGGTATCTACCATATAAAAACAGTCATCACAACAATCATCCAGCTAAATAACTATGAAAACTATGAACTGACACGCATTAAACCGATAAGATAGTCAGTTGATCAAATATCCAGTCGGTTGAACGTCCAACCGGTCAAATATCCAGTCTTTCAAATAGCTGACAGGTCAAATACTCAGCAGATGCTCATTGTATAGATATCCAACATATCGATAATCCTAATACCCAGTCAAATATCCAGACAGTCATCTGGCCCGTCGACTCACCCTTTCCGTAGTTGTCGTACAGGTCATTCCAGGGGTCCAGCGATTTGATCTTGTGCGTGGCCTCATCCAGGCCGGCGAACCCGTATATTCCGTGCGTGCAGAGCATAGGGTCGAAATCCTCGACGTCGAATTTTCCGTCTCCGGGCCGGTAGACGGCCCAGGTGCCGTAGTAACAGGTGGCCAAGTAGTTTGATGCACCGGCCACCTCTGAATGATCGCGTGGGGGTACGTTAAGGTACGTTGGGGAGTACGTTGTATAAGGTAAAAGCCTGTTTTGGGATTGTTTATCATAACGATGAAATGATGAGGGTAAATAAAAAATGAGCCAATAAAGCATTAAATGTATATGATATTGATAAATAATCATGTAGGTATACAAGGTACAAAAGTCTAAGTACAAAGTTCTCTGTCATTAGCATTATGTAATACTTTTGATTTTGATGTCATACAGCTGACTATAATAGTTATAGTCACCATATAGTCGCCATTTTTTTAGTCGCTATCTAGCCTATCTAATGACGGTCTTGCCGTGTGAAAAAGTTTTCTTACCATTGACCGCTACCCCGATGGTCACAGCCACCAGGGCTGCAACTGCCGCGGCTCTCATCCCGTTCTTCCTGTGGGGTGACACAAACTGAACTCTAACTGTAGCAGTTCAACAGTACTGAAAATACATGCTGTTATTGATAAAAATATCTGCTTTTCTATTTTCGGTGAGGAACATCGTTGAAGGGAAAAAACACCGCACTTCGTATGGTTCTTTGTATATCGCAGAGAAGTATGTACAGCAGTAAAATGCTATGTAAAAATGCCACAAAATTAAATAAAAACGACAATAACATCAAATGAGTTTAAAGCTCGTCAAATTAAGGAAAAAGTAAAAATATAAGCAATTTAACATTCATCACCTACCGTTGTGGTTCAGAGGAAATTGACCGATTCGAATTCCATGTAGTTAGCCTGCACATTCCAGTCTTATTTTTATATTTTTTACTCACCTGGCGATGCCTGTTCTTTGTTCTTCTCAACCCGTGTCAAAGTTTCTGTTGTAGTGTCCCTCCCGGTGGTCAGCTCGCTTGGAAGCCAGCGGACAATCTGAGGGGGCCGCTGCGTACATTTCCTCACATATTGGACGGCGGACGCCTCTGATAAAAGGCTCTTTATCGTTTGTGGGGAGGGGGCCGCCAGCTCGCCACACGAGCCCTCGTGCAGTGCCGTGGAGACAGCCGCCACAGGCTCCGCGAATCACTCGGAGCCAATCACATTCCGCATAGCATTCAGGTGATGTCATTCTTGATAGGCGGTGGAACGGATGTCCCCCGATAGCATAAGCCGAGGAATAAACAAACCGCGAACGCAAACAGTGACAAACGATACAGCAGAAACATTGGTTTTACTATCGTCGTGTGATGTAATTTTGTTTTTGACGAGTTGCCAAGTGCAAGAAAAAAGATCGGTCGCCTTAACATCAGTAGGTATGCAATAACGCAAAACTTTTCCATGAACAGCGAAACAAGGTCGCGCGGCCACTTCTGAACTTGAGGCGGCGGACTTTGCACCCGATGGCAGGTGGCTGTGTGATAATTCCTGTGAGACGTTCACCACTGACCACCTGTGATGGTCCCAGACTCCCGCCCACTCGAGAATGAACACCGAAAGCCCGGACTGAAATGTGAAACATCATCAACATACTGACTTGTGTTCAGTGAACCCTGCAAGCACATTTATATCATATCTGTACGCACTTGAGTGTAATTAGTTGTCCGTTACGCTTTTCGTATACATAATGTAACAGCAAGGTATTATCAAAATAACCCGGCAGTTGCTGGGGTATTTCGCCACCCACCGTTTGCTGGGGGGGGGCGTTAAACGCCCCCAGCCGATAACTCGAGAACCAATAGGCGCAGCGAAACGCACGAGGCGGCAAACGAAAGAACGCGACGAGACGCTTCAGATGAGTACTTTAAAGTTGAATTTTGAGGTCACAGGTCGGGTCAAGGTCAGGTCAAACACCTGAAATCGGGCTTTCAGTAGCATTGACTTCAGGACTTCGCAATGGGCGCCTCTCGTCATAAACTCTGTCAAAACGGTGCACAATCCATCATATAAGGCCTACAAGAGTGTCAGCTCCATGTAGGGGTTAGTCAAGCATAGGTCAGGGTCAAGGTCAGGTCAACCGGGTAGGCACATATCCCCAAAAATCAAAACTGATATTCGCAGCCTGTGACACATGTTTTATGGGTAATTTGGGGCGTAGAACACGATGGTGACATTCATTTTATCATATGTGTACGTGTTTGGCTCAAAAAGTTCAATTTAAGAAATTCATGTATCATGGTCGTGAAGTAGTCAAGAGAAATTGCCAAGATTCAGTTCAAGATTTTGGAAAATGCGGAACGATAATCAATAATCGAAGATAGCCATTTGATTGTTCATAGTATTGGCAGTCTAATGGCGTTTACGGCATGTCTGTATGTCTATTCTGTGATTTTATATGATTTTTTGAACATATGCCGTTTTTGGTCGAAAACTCAGAAATCATGACGTCACTTGAACCTCGATATCTCAAAAATTTTCCGACCGATTTTTTTGAAACTTTGTACCAATAAACATAAATCAATTCCCTACAGGTACCCAAAATTTGGCGCGCCTGCGGCGCGCCGTTTTTATGCTATGGCCCGGCGAAAAAAGTGGGGGCGTTTAACGCCCCCCCCCAGCAACTCGCGGGATAAGGTCTCATTGCGCTCAGCCGACACAGTATGTAAGAAGGCCCTTCTTGACCCGTCTTTCGAAGTTACTCTAAGATGTTCTACAAAAAGTGAATAAATAGATACATACTTAAAAGGTAAATAAACAAATAAATAAATACATAACTAAATAGTATTAGTTAAGTAATCCTGGGTACTAAGTATCCTCGTAAATATACCTATAAATGAATATGAAAATATGTTAAATCTTACAATAAGAAAAACAACAAGAACATGATAATAAATAGCAATACATACCTAAATAGCGTAATACACACGCTTACCTAGTACTTTTCATACAAAGTGCTTAGCATCTCGACAAGTGGCCCAATAATAAATGGACATATTGGTGCATTTATTGTTGGGCTAGGCTGACAATGATGTGTTGATAATGTAACCTACCTTTGTGATTATCAACACAGGAGATACGTCCCCACTCAAATGGAACGCCGGACTTGAAGGGGTCCATCAGCAACAAGCCCTGCTTAGCTGGTGGGCCCTAGAAAGTCTGGCTGTTGACCTGCGCTCGAATTGACCAGAAATGTTTCCCCACTGGATTGCCATTTGCTGATTTTTCTTCTAGGAGTGAAAGGCTGAATGCACTCTAATAACCAATTATGTATGCATGTATGAATGACCTCTTTCTTAGATGTAGTAGAACAGTCATCCGCTGCTTTCAGCAATGACTACTTTGGCTCTCTTTATTTATTAACCGGTTCCCGCACTTCTTTTGCTTACTTTGTTTTTTTTTTTCAATTTTCCTAGCTGGGAGTGCCGCGACTTATCCTTTTTTATTTTTATCTGGTGTTAACGTAAGGTGCTGTGAGTCGCTGGGCTGAGGGTGGGGGCACTCCTGGTCACCTAATAATGGGTGGCGGAGTAGTTCGAAAAAAAAAAAATAGATAAATAAATAAATAAATAGGTAAATAAATGAATAAAAAACAAAGTAAATTTCTCCAAAAAACTAAGAACAACTAAGAAGAAACGAATCGAAGTTATGATCATTGTTCGAGCAACTCTCAAACATGCCAAATCAGGGCCTTCCGGTGTAGGGAAACAGACCACACATACGCTGCCAAGTAGATGACGTGCCGATGCACTCCGAGCCGCCTGTCGTAAAAACGCACAGGTGCGCCTTTTTACAGTCCAATTTGCGCTTCCATTTTTGGTATAACATTAGCGGAGCCGTAAAACTTGGCAAGTGGCCATTGTCACGCCGAAACAAGCTACACGCCGCGCCACATTTCTCGTTTTTCAACACCAGCAGTGCTAGCTTCAAACCTAAGTGATCAACATCATTTATCCGGCAAGATTTACGATTTTCTCCTCTTTGTAGAGCGCCGAAGCTGTTCTAAGACTGCAAGCACCTCCAATCCGCAGCGGGATGAGCCAGCGGCAGGAAACGGCACAAATCGGCCGCTCACTGCCGCCTAATTCATGTAATTTCGCCGGCGAATGGGCTTCGCGAAACATCTTTATGAAGCCGGTGTTGGCGGCGGCGGCGGCGCCGGTTCGTTAGCGCTCTGGGAGGTAATTGCACGTGCAGGGCGGCCGGGGCGGCGCCGGCGGCGGCGGCGCTGCATCTGGCCGGCCGCCGGGGACCGGGCCAGACCGCACATGTCAGCGAGGCCGTCCGCTGGGAGTGATGGCCTCGCACGGCAGGCAGAGTGGCGCACACGGGAGTCCAGCAGCCGCGAAGAAGACCTGTAGCAGTGACACTTGGGTTTTGTGGGTGGAAAGAGTCGAGAAGGCTGTATGTATCGTGTCAGAAGGCTATCTATGAGTACTAAGCAATTGCCGAGAACAAACGGCACGATTCAGCGCTCAAAACAGCGCATTAAAAACTTGAATAGCCTTTTGATGTTGCAAATCAAACAGCTTTGTTCCTTTGTGAAGAGTCTCTCTGTCACAAGAATGCAATAAATAACCCTTCAGGAACACAACCAGCGCGAATAAAAACCGGATTTTAGCGCTGGTGTCAGCCCTCTCCTAAATGCCACTTTGTCACATGCCAAAGATGCCTATTTCATCGTTCGCCCGCAGATCTGAAATTAGATAGAAGCAATCAAAACCATCAGGGTTTGAATTGAGATAAAGCCGTGGCCGCCCTTTGATTGACGGTTCGTCAAAGGGGCGCTGTATCACCGACACCAAACGTCAATTACTGACCGGGACATGGTCAGATAAGAGTGGCGGGCTATCGCGCCGTCTTAGGACAGCTGTCTCTGTCAGTTGTGTCTGCCGCATCCGTCTCTGTCAGTTGGCTGCGCTGTGGCTGACTCAATTCATTGTCTTTCCCGTTTCTGTTCCGTCCCTCAATCTGTCGGAGAACCTGACAAGTCAATAGCCTTTGACTCGCCGTGCTAGACAATACTCTGCTCAATGAGCAATCAACTGTCAGCTGTTAGAATACCATACAATACTTTAGGGAGTTTTTGGGTGTGAAATTTACCATGAAAATCATCATTTACTATACGTTCACGGGAGATAGATTGAGAGGAAAAGAAAGAGAGAGAGAGAGAGAGAGAGAGAGAGAGAGAGAGAGAGAGAGAGAGAGAGAGAGAGAGAGAGAGAGAGAGAGAGAGAGAGAGAGAGAGAGAGAGAGAGAGAGAGAGAGAGAATGAGAGAGAGAGAGAGAGAGAGAGAGAGAGAGAGAGAGAGAGAGAGAGAGAGAGAGAGAGAGAGAGAGAGAACGATAAGAGACTCACACGTTTGAGTAGGTACCTACTGCGTTGCACTTAATACTGAAGCTATTGCAGATACGGGTACTTTGCGTGCGAGAAAGCTGCAAATGCTATTGTGTACACATAGGCTCAACGCCCTAACAATTTCGACATTGTATTCTATTTTTCGGTCACCTAAGCCATTCAGCCTCGTATTTTGCGCTCACTCCAAATTAGCCTCAGTTATTGTCTGTATATCACATCTGATTAGACGGTAGATAAAACCAGATCCAGTCAGCTCCTTTTGTGGCTTCCTCGCTCGTGTGCGTGTCGGTCAGCGGCTAAACACGCTTCTCCAATTATCCAGGTCCCTGTGTGTCTCGGGTGCGTCAAATTTTGGTGAGGAGACACCCACGCCTGTCCGTGAACACGTGTTTGTTAGCCATGTTTGTGTATCGCTGGCTGCTGTCGGAAGGTTGATAGTATCATAGGAGGGAGAGACGAGGAGGCTACCGCTACGTCTCAGGATAAAATCGGCTGGAAAGAGGAACCAAGCTAGTTGGCGGACGCTGGGGGTTTTACTAGGCAGATGTGTGTCCAAACCTGGCCTGCTTATTTGCATTAAACGCTTTTAAAGGCATTCATAACCACATTCTTGTCCCTATGTGTATATTTTCGCCGCTATCAAAATCACATTACAACAGTTCATCATGCT